AACTGCACCATGAGGAGGCGAGGAATGAGGAGGAAGGTTCCAGAAAATCCATAAGTGAGGAAATTGACGAAAAACCTGACATGTATAAATTCTCCTCCCCCTTCACATCTCTCATAATAGTTTTAATTTATGTTTTATCTTTGCAGTTTAAATAAACCATATATCTCCTATTTCAACAGGACATCTTGCTTTATTAATATTCATTATGAATGTCTTATAGGGGTCATCGGATGCCCATTTTCCAGTTGATATGATTCTTTAGGGTCTTAATGAAAAGTCAGTAACATAGTTTGGTTAAAAATTCTCAATGGTAGTGTAAAACAACACCGTTTTTACCCTGTCAGAAACAGCTCTGTTTTCAGCAAGCCGTTTTAGTGCATGTTCCTTTAAATGCTAATGAGCTCTGCTCACCCCGCCCACCTCTTCCGTGGGGTGATGAGCCATTCTCATGAGACTGTTTACTTTAGCCATGGAACTTGCTAACTAGCATGTTAAGAAAGGCGATTTGCAAAGATTCATAAAATAACCTTATACTCACTTCTTCTGTAGGTGAGGCTGGATCACTAATGATTCTCGCGAACATAGATGCATTTAGGTAGATCGGGGGGGCGCATTCCCTTCAAAAACAAAGGTAATCCTCTGCGTCTTCAGAGGCTCAGATGTCGGGAGTAAATGACGACTGCTATGTTCATTATTACATCCAGCAACAAAACGCCTCAATCGCTTAATCGGAGATGTTCTTGTCTTCCCCTGCACCGGAGTCGACACAATGGCGGACTGATAACAGCTCACTCAGGGCGGGTCTTAGGTAAGACGGCCTTGTCAATCAACTATCGTGGGAGCGGCCTGTGCAGAACTTCGTCATTCTGACAAGAATCTCAGAACAGCCTGATTTGAGAAAGAAAAAAAAAAACTGCGTGGATTTTTATCATTATAGGGTGGATGTGTACACACATTTCCAACACAAATTTATGTTCAAACAACATGTAAAGTGAATTTTGCATCCGATGACCCCTTTAACAAACCACCATAGATTAAAAAAACTGGTGAGGTAATGTTTAGTAAAATTGAGAACTTATATCTTGACTATAGAACTTCTATAGGCCTACTTATTAGAATTTTCGCGAAAAGAACGGCCAAATGTAAACAAACATTATTTAGCTACGTTTTTTCTTCTGCATACCATAGATGAAAATCCTGTGGCCGCCCCAATTTTTTTTTTGGCTAGTTTTAGAAGCTTTCTGGCCAGTTTTCATCTGGACAGGCTGGGAGCTTAAGCTAAAAAAGTATTGATAAAAATATTCGTGTCATCAGTATTGAAATCAACTGTCACGTAGAGTGGAGTCCTCGTATTTGTATGATGCACATATTTACTGCATATGTAAAGCGCTCCAAATTAGTAACTTATTTAGTTTTGTTTGAGTTACAATAGAGCACAGCCTATGAAGACAGCAGAAAGTGAAGCAACTTACTGTTTTTGAACAAATCTATAAAGTGGTAAGTAAATAAATAAAAGCATGCCACTAGGGATGTAAAGATTCACTCACTTAAAAATTTCAGATCATATTCTTCAACTCATGATTCGATTCGATTCGATTCAGGGTTTTTTTTTTTTTTTACAAAATGAGATTTAAGACAAATTATAAATTAAATGTGTCCTTTTATTATTGCTTTGACAAAATGCTGCACGTTTCGTTGTGAAATTGAAATATAATACTATAATAATATACTAATACAGCACTTGCATATAATTGCTCTTTTGTTGGTTTTGATTGCTTCTATTGTCCGCATTTGTTAGTTGCTTTGGATAAAAGCGTCTGCTAAATGACAAAATTTAAATATAATGTAAATGTAAATAACAAAACTAAATTGAAATTTTAAAACAAACCCCAAATAAAATAAATAAGTAACACAAATAAAAGAAATCTCTTCATATAAACAAACTAAGGTTTTGTCTGTGCTCTTTCCATTTAAAATTAGAGGCAAGCACTGCATTTTAATCCTGATCCAAACAAAGATGCTGCATACATGCAACATGAGCAGTTTTTAATCTAAATTACATTGTATAATTTCGAAATTTGAAGCAAAAACAGAATGGTTTGACTTCAGTTTTGTGAAACTATACATAAAAAATATCTGCATGAAACAGAAGCAGCAGACGAGCTGAACGAGACGCAGATTCACTCTCTTAAAGCGTTTCCTTGGTTTCCGCTGTAAACAAAGCAGCGCTGCACTTATGAACTTTAATATGCATTATACAGAGGCAAGATGAAAAGAAAAAATACCATCTAAACTTTTCTAAAGACAGTAAGTTCCCCTCAGACAT